CGTAGAACATAATTTTTTTTTTTTTTTTAAACAGAACACCCAAAATATTTTTTTTCAATTACTATAATTATGATTACATACTTGTATATTTTATATTATTGATCAATATATGAATCCGTTGGCCAGGCTACACATGAAACTGTGGTTGTGGTCTCATTGGCACAAATTAATTTAGATGAAATTAGATAGAACTGTATGGATCCCACACTCGTCTGTCACGGACTTACAAATCTTTGTTTGGTCAAATGCTTTTTCTGCTCTGCTGTGATTTGTTATATATGTTGGAGAAAACAAGGGTGACACCAGATGTCACTGATATGCATTGTGTTAAAAGATTTGAGTAATGAATATTTTTTGCACAGTTTGATGAAAGCTCAAGTGCTTCAGAAAGCCTTGGATATTCATGTTTACCACTACCAGCATTGTGCCTGTTATGTGCTATTCACTTTTACACTGATGCTAAAATATGTTACTTTGTACAATCTTCATATCACAGTCCTGCACAGATGGCAGAAAATGTACTCATTTGCTGTCCTGCGGCAATACAAGAGAGCAGTTGCATTTTAGACCAAACATATGGTGACTGAGTGTGACCTGGACGCATCAGTGATCGTGAGATATTTTGCTAAACAATATTATCCTGTTTGAAAAATTGCGCGATAACTTTTTTTTTTTTTCCATCTGTATCATCTCGACGAGCTTTTGTGAGGTTTCACGCATGCGCAGTAAGGTGAATTTAGAAGTTTCTCATCCACACTGAATACGTCGGAAAACGCCTGAAAACGCTAGTGTGGACGCGGAGCGTTTTTAAACGAAAACGGCGTTTTCAAATGTATCCGGATTAATGTGAACGTAGCCTGAGGGCTTAGATACACAGAGCAAACAAAGGAGTTAACGAGATAATTATTGAGGGACAAGTGAATGAGATGAGTCAAAAAGACAAACGGAAAACTGGGTCAAATGAAAATAGCAACACAATGAAAACTAAGACGAAAAACATATCCCTGACACTTGTGTATATATATATATAGACTATATGTATATATATATATATATAGAGAGAGAGAGAGAGAGAGAGAGAGAGAGAGAGAGAGAGAGAGAGAGAGAGAGAGAGAGAGAGAGAGAGAGAGAGAGAGAGAGAGAGAGAGAGAGAGAGAGAGAGAGAGAGAGAGAGAGAGAGAGAGAGAGAGAGAGAGAGAGAGAGAGAGAGAGAGAGAGAGAGAGAGAGAGAGAGAGAGAGAGAGAGAGAGAGAGAGCTTTGTTGTCATTTATTTCACACTGTTCCTCATTTTTCACTGTTCTTACAGTATTTTTCTGAAGATAAGTTGCTTACTGTACTGTTGTTACACTGGTAAAACTTGTGAAAACTGAGCAGCAGATTGTGAAATAGAGGTTTACATCCTGAGTTCAAGTTCAGTTCAGTGTGTATTTGTAACAGAACATATTTTAAATGCGGTGGGAAGTCACCTCCCACTCTAGACACCTTTTTGAATTGTGCCTTGCGCACTGACACACTGACTGCAGCATTTCTGCCGAACAGCTCTTCTTGTTCTCAAAGCACTTGAACTTTTCTGGTCACACTGTTTAGTTCAGTTTATTTTCTAATAAAGCACATTTCTACTGCCAAAAAATGCTGTACAAAAATTAACAAAGAATACAAACACAAAAACTTAAAAGATTAATATTGACCAAGAAAATAAAAATCACACGGTGCTGTCAATTATGTGTATTTGATAGGGGTGGAATGATACGTTATATAGGGATGTCGCATTGTAAAAATATGACGATATGTATTGTTGATGTAATAATTCACCCCAAAATTATTTTTGTTTATGTGTGGTCTGAGTTGCTTTATCCCTGATGGACAGGAGGATTGATAGGTGGTGAAAATTGAGCTTTAGTAAGGTAGGATCTAGACATAGACGTTGGAACAGTCCCCCGGCCCTTAACCCACTTAAGCACGAGCGTCAGTTTGAAAATTGCTGGGCACAGAGACACATTCGGCAGTGCTGGGTACAAACTTGTCAAACTGTGCAGCCTTTCTGCTCAACCCATAAATAAATGCATCGATCTGCTAATATTTATTTGAGTATTTCAATGGTCTAGTGGTAGATCTTTTGCCAAGAGTGTCAGAGCACTGCATAGCGTAGTGTAAAGTAACAGTCAAAATATTGTGTGCACCTTCCCTCCAGCAACACCTGTCACCTGAAGAAAGGTTCCTATCTATATTCAGTAATCAATTACCCAAAGAGAGACCCCTAATGGACACACAAGGCATAACTTCATTGATGCTTTCTGAGTCTGATTCTGGCTCAAACTGATACGGCAGTATTGACACCATTATTTACATTTGACCGGAGCACATGTATTTTTCGCCCTTAAAGGTAATAGGCGTGAAGTTTCCGGACTTGCACTACAGTTTAGCCAATTACAACACACAGGCCCAACGACCCAATTTTAGCTTATTGACTGTTTCTGAGGGAGTGGTCATGGAATTAGGATATGAACAGGCCGTTCAAATGACAGAGGAGAAAGTGGCTTACAATAAAGGTGAATTTTATGAAAATTAAGGCTTAAAAAAAACACAGAAGAGACAGCCCATTCTCACTCCCAAGGCGTCACCTAACTGACGCATTGGGAAGCATTTGGACATGCTTCAATATCTGACGCTTTAGGCGCCCTTTAGCGTCAGTAAGATGACGCCCTAGGATCGCGTGTACCCTACCCCGACCCCATACCTAAACCTAACCGCGTCCTCTAACTGACGCTTTCCTTTAGCGTCAGTTAGATGACGCCGTAGGATCGCGTCATGTAAGTGACGCTAAAGGGCGCCTAAAACGTCAAATATTGAAGCATGGTCAAAGGTGACGCCTTGGGGTGAGAATGCGTTGGAAGAGATGTTATATTGCACCCCATAAACACAATCGTGCAAAGAAAAAATAAAGCAGCAAACCACCCCTTTAAAACGTTGTCAATTATACATTTCCCCGTTCCATCTGGCTGATACGGATTATGACCCACGGCGGCATAGGTGAGCCTATAACACCCATAAATGTGGCACTTGTGCTCTGAACCATATTGAAAAAGAGTGTTCTCACACTACAGGCGGTGACCGTGTCGAGCTGTGCATTGGTTGCAAACAAACCCGAGCTGGTCATTATCTTTGTGAGTCATGGCTATAACCATAAATTGGTTACACCTCTGGACTACAGAGGGGTATGTGATCCTCTAACACCATGCACTGCTAGGTGCTAATCTTCAAAAATAATAGCAGCCTGTGAGTTGGTGTCAGGCCAAGTGTGAAGTCTTGCAGTCAAACTCTCATTAGAGCTGCTGAGGTGAACGTTGCGGCTTTTGTTGATGTTTTTAACAGCTCTTCTTGTACTGTAAGGGCTATTGTTAGACCTGTTTGTTGTAGAGGTTGCCTGTTGCTTATAAGCAAGAGCTCTCAGAATTAGCAGGCAGGCCAGCCTGATCAATTTTCATTCAGTCATTTCAAATTGATTGTGTATTTGTGTAGGAAATCAAAAGCATTTGGCTCCAACTAGCTGGCAGTGACGCAAAGAGTGCAATTACCTGGGGAAATAAATGATTGTCATTAGGTAATGCTACATTATGATTGTGTTAGATAGATCCTTCAGTTGACAGCTTTCTAAGTTGCTATGTTGGGTAAATTAAATATTGAATTGTCAGATCTCTATTCCTTCTCCCCACAACGTATTTTGTGATGGAATAGTACTTGCACAACATTTGCTTTATCTTGATATTATTATTGAGTGATGTGGCATTTGGAAGCTAAAACAGACGTTGATTGATGCAGGTGAAATGTCTTTGTTTGTGTTTACAGCTCTCAAGTTTAGGCAAATTTCAAAAACTTTTGAGGTGCCCCTGACATGTTTTCAAACTTTTATCACTTTGAATTATATTTTCTTCCCACAAAGGTTTTTGCTTAGCGGCTACAAGTGTGTGCGTGTATGCGTGTGTCTGTGTGGTGTGTGTGTGTCTGCAGTTTGTTGCTCTTTGAAGCTCTGCAGCTTTAAGGCTCCTATCAAAAGCCATCATTATGACCATCCCTGTGACCGTGAAGGAGACTTCTTCTCTGACCCTACCCTCTCATTGTTGTGTGTGTGTGTGTGTCATGCAGGTGGATTGTATGTTCTACTTTATAGTACAAGGAAAATCTCAATGTGTGCTATTATGGATGCATATAAACCGGTACCATGATGGCTATCCTCCAATATTAGAGTATTATTTATATATTAATTATTATTTACTACTTAATATTTGTAGTGGTTCAAGCGTGTAGCGCTGAAACCCTATATTGTTTATTTTCCCATGATCCAGCATTCTCCATCTAAAACTGATTGGACAGACCATACCGTAAGTCGTAGAGACTTGAAACTTTGTGGGCTGGTAGAACTCACACCGCCTACAATATAACCAAAGGCACACCCCGAAAGGCCTGAGGAAATGATGAAATGTCTCATAACTCCTAAACCGTAAGGCATATGCTCAAGTTTCTAATATTGTTGTAATCCTTGGCTCAAGGCAGACCAAATGCGGTCACCCTGGGAAAAATGTAATAAGGTAATTTGGGTTTTCCCAAAACTTACGAGGTTTTTGCCCCGACCGGAACCAAACCAGTGCGACAAGATTCTCTGGAGTCTGATTGTCAATAGTTATCAAAAAAAGTGGAAATGTCGACCAAAACATTTGAAGTGGGAGGAGCCACTTTTACAAAATTGGCTTTAACTTGTGAACGGGACGATATCAAACTTAGCATACCTTTGTGAGAGCTCATTCTGTGGTCGCGTGAAAAAAGACGTGGCGACTAGCCACTAGCCACTTGGTGGCCCTATAACTGTTAAAGGAGAACTCCGGCGAAAAATGAACCATAGATTTTGGAAAAGCGTTCTCGGATCTCCAAACCCCCAGTCCATGTCCCTAAATTTTCTCTGTGTGCAAGTTATTGTTAATAACTAACTTTGTTTGTTTCGCAGGAGAACTTGTGGCTGGACAGTGTATCTCTGCTTATCAAAGATTCATTTGAAGGAGAGATGCTGATGATTGACAACCTCTCTGGTTCTGTCTTCCATCATTACTCCTCTCCACCTGTTTGCAAAGACTGCAGGACTCATCCGCAAGAGGTACGGCTTCACACTGGAGATTTGTCAGTGTTTGTTGCAAATGCAAATGCACATGTCAGTATTTTTTAACATTTTCACAAAATTAATTTCATGTGTTATTTTTCAAATTTCATTGTGTTATTTTACATTTGCAGAAGCAATGCTTCTGTCACTTGTTTCTACTTTTCTTCGGCTGTGTTTTGATCCGGCGATTCGGTCATCTTTCAGAAGATGCACAGTTGCGCCCCCTTACCATATAACATTGAAAACATGAGCCATGTTTCCAGGGAAGGACCTTTCCCCTGGAACTAGGGACTTTGGGGTGGTTCTCTGTGTGTTTTAAACGGCATGGATCAGGGTCTAAATTATGTTCCGGGTAAAAATGTCCCCCTCGGAAAGTCCCTGCTTGCGAGGTAGTGACTTTTCAGTTTTCAGTTACTTTTAGTACTTTCAGAGGTGGGACAGAGGCACTGAACATGCTGATTGGTTGAGTTTATGCATCATTTTGATTGTTTTCATCCACTCAGCAATTTATTTAAACCATTTTTAAAAGTCTGTTCCCGTGCATGCAGTTAGTGGTTTACTATTCGAATCAACAATAGGGTTTAAAGAAATTCGTCCGATGGACTGACGATGTCCTACGTCACTGAACTTTGCCAAGTTTTCATGGTACTTTAGACCACAATGGAAGCGCTATGGAAACATGGCTTTTGCCAGAATTTTCTGTCAATAATGGGGAAGCGTTGTGTCCTAAATTATGGAAAAGTCTGTCAATGTCAGGGAAAGAGTTAGCAAGAGAAAGCAAAGTTTGAATGTTGGTTTCACCAAACATTTGAAATTAATTTATAAAAGTCTGTAAGGTTTACACATTCGATGGATGGATGTATTTACGTGTACTACAGTACATAATTTAATGCACACACACAAAGTCTCCCAATGCTTGTGTCCCATCACAGTGACAGACAGGATATGGGTGGTTCAGGAAAGAACTATTTCAATGGGTAACCTCCACAGCTGTCATTCCGCCATTCTGTCAGGCTGCCAACAATGTCAGTCCATCAGTCTGTTTCCATCACCTTTTCTGCTCTCCATACATCTGTGATTTGCAAGCTCTTCTCTCTCATTCACTTAGAGGTTTGACTCTAAACATCTCTTTTCTTGAATTACCCAAATTTCTTCTTTTAAAAATCCTTACATTTTCAGACATGAACCACATCAATTCAAAGTCTCTTTTGGCAGTTTTATTACTCAAAATTCACCACAATCTGAAAACTCTATCTATTTGTCTGGTACAGAAATTCAAATACTATGAAAGGATTTGAAGGATGAAATCCCCCCCAATTCTCATTGCAATAAATTCTGGTCCACAGCAGATCCACATGGCTGAACTGGAGCAGGCGTCTCTGAGGTCAGAGCAGCTTTCAGATAAGTCATCCTCACCAGCACTGCCTGATGACCTCAGCCTGGATGAGCAGAGCGTGTACCAGATGACTGCCAAGGAGGGCAAGGTGAACTTTCTCTCAAAAAGATTATTTTGTCACAATGCTTCACCCCCTTAATTATCTCAATATCCACACTTACAATTTAAAATATTAAAATCTTTTTAAGAAGGGATGCACTGTTATTAGATTCTTGCTAATATCCTAAAGCCACTAATTATTTTCATGTTATGGCCAATAACTGATAATGGTTAATATTAAAATGTTGCACTATGTTGTCTAAATAAACCAAAAAATGTTATTAAATTATTTGTGGTTTATATATTACTGCTGCCAATCGATTAAAAAAGTAAAATTATTAAATTCAAACTGATGTCTCCGTGAAAATTATTTTATTTTTAAAAAATAATAAAACCTACCCCCCCCCCCTTTTTTTTTTATTATAGCTATTCAACCTTTATTAGGCTTCAAAAAAATTAATTTACATGAACTTAAAACAATCCTCACATAAACCCATAATAAATGTCATATTTACCTGTGCCCTTCCTAACTGTCTAACAGGTTGGAAATATACGCTACAGAAATTGAATAAAGTTATCAAACACAAATAAGAAAAAGAGGCTACAATTGGCAAGAGTTGGACAGTTGAAGACTGGAAAAATGTTGCCTGGTCTGATGAGTCTTGATTTCTGTGGAGACATTCAAATGGTTGAGTCAGGATTTGGTGTTAACAGAATAAAAACATGGATCCATCATGCCTTGTTACCACTTTGCAGGCTGCTGGTGGTGGTGGTGTAATGGGATGCTTTCTTGGTACACTTCATGCCCATTAGTGCCAATTGGGCATCGTTTAAATGCCACAGCCTACCTGAGCATTGTTTCTGACCATGTCCATCCCTTTATGGCCACCATGTACCCATCCTCTGATGGCTACTTCCAGCAGGATAATGCACCATGTCACAAAGCTTCAATCATTTGAAATTGGTTTCTTGAACATGACAATGAGTTCACTGTACTAAAATGGCCCCCACAGTCACCAGATATCAACTCAATAGAGCATCTTTGGGGTGTGGTGGAATGGGAGCTTTGTGCCCTGGATGTGCATCTCCCAAATCTCCATCAACTGCAAGATGCTATATGGGCCAACATTTCTAAAGAATGCTTTCAGCACTTCAATATCAATACCATGTAGAATTAAGGCAGTTCTGAAGGTGAAAGGGGGTTAAACACAGTATTATGGTGTTTCTAATAATCCTTTTTAAGTGAGTTTATATACTATATATATGGTATTTACATTGCTCATATTCCCCAGAGCATCAATCATATAATCATATATATCTGGTCCAAGCTGGTTGTTAAAAAAGGGGTCCCACTTTATATTAAGTGGCTTTCAGTACTATGTACTTACATTGAAATTAATAATTTGATACAATGGACATATTGTGTACATACATGTTATTACATTGTACTTATATTTTAAAAATACCAGCATGTAATTACAGCTATAATTAAATTTTGTAATTATACAGTTAACCCTCCCCTCACACCTTAACCTACCCTTAAACCAACCCATACCACCACACTTGTCCCTAACCTTACCTGTTTCACACCTCAATAGCAGCAAAAGTGTTTTACAATACAACAGGAACACAATAATACATTATACTTATTGTTCGATGTAAGTACATAGTACTTAAAGCCACTTAATATAAAGTGGGACCGAAAAAGGCTTTATTTTGATGCTCCCAAAAGTGAACTACCTCTATCTGATTGATATACAACTGCTGTAATCCATTGCATCCTAAACTATGATCCTTTAATTGAATATAATCATTTAGAATGACCAGACTCGCACTAATTGGATTGAAGTAATCAAATAACTATAAGCTCTTAGTCTAAATCCTCATGGGGCATGTAGCTCTGCTGCAAAACCAGCAGAGTTTTTCTACAGACTTTAAACATCTCTATCTATTTGTTAGAGAAACACCGTACAGGACAATGTGTGGGGCAGATGGCTCAGGTGATCCAGCAGTGCCTAATCTCTCCTTAAAGGAATGGTTCACTTTCAAATGAATTAGCCAATGATTTACTCACCCTCTAAGCCATAGTAGGTGTGTATGACTTTCTTCTTTCAGACAAATACATTCAGAGTTATATTAAAAAATATCCTGGCTCTTCCAAGTTTTATAATGGCAGTGAATGGCAACCAACTGATTAAAGCTCAAAAACATGCATTCATCCGTCATAAAACATGGTGTTAATAAAGGCCTTCTGAAGCAAACATATGAGTTTGTGTAAAAAAAAAAAAAAAAAAATATATATATATATATATATATATTTAAAACTTTATAAAGTAAAATAACTAGATTGTGGTCAAATGAATATACAGAATCCTTGTAAGTGTAAGCGCAACTTATGCGAGTAATCCGGCGTACTGCTGATAGTTGTTAGTGGCTACACCATGACGCACTACACTACTTCTGACGGCATGAGTTGTGTAAGTTGCGCATTAGGGGCAAGTAGACTGCTTTGCTCGTTTGGTCGGAAGCTAGAATTTTACTTTGTAACGTGTTAAATGCGAATATTTTTCTTACACAAACTCATCGTTTTGCTTCAGAAGGCCTTTATTAACCCACAGGAGCCGTTTGGAGTTTGTTTATGACGGATGGATGCACGTTTTTGAGCTTAAATCTGTTGGTTGCCATCCACTGCCATTATAAAGCTTAAAAGAGCCAGGATATGTTTTAACATAACTCAGATTGTATTCGTCTGAAACAAGAAAGCCATATACACCTAGAATGGCTTGAGGGTGAGTAAATCATGGGCTAGTTTTCATTTTAAAGTGAGCTAATCCTTTAATCTCTTTTACTGTTATAGAGAGAAGCCCGGGATACAGAGAAACTAAAAGAGTTTAGTTTACCATGAAAGCAAGATGTTAGCATATAAGAGTCCAAAAGCCTCCCAGGATACTGAAAGCTCATGCTAATGTTTTTGCTCAGGAAAGAGGCTGTGATGAATGTGTAACTTCAGAAGAACCAGGAGGGAGAGGTCACAGCAGGTTACGGCGACCCTCTCGGGTTCACAGCTCCGGGGCAGAGGATGGGTCAGAAACGCATGGAGGCGGTTCTCAAAGTCCACATCACAACACACCTGCTCGTCATAGCATAGGTAATGCTGCACCTTCACAGTACTGCAGGAGTAATACTGGAGAAAAAAGCAAGAAAACTGTTGTGCTTTTGTTTTTTTCTGCTATGCTGAGTTTTAATTAAACACCTAAAAAAGTTGACCTAACTTAAAGAATTAGAGTCAATTTATTAACTCACATAGCAGCTACTTTTGTTGATCTAATGAACTTAAAAATTATTGTCAACGCAACTAAAGGTTGTTTAGCATTTACCAATGCAAGGAGCTACAAACCTCATTCTTTCATCAATGTGTATGATTTTCAAAGCCCACTATATTAGTGCGAAAAAATTGTTCTTTTGAACAGGTTCTTTTTAGTCACTGGCTGAACCAGTTTACCAAATTGGACTGAACCAGTTTACCAAATTGGACTGAACCTTCTGAAACAGTCTGCAGCACAAGTCAGCACAGATCTACAAGTTACTCAATCAAAACTCACTTTCAGATGTGTCTGACAGTCACTCCATCTCAAAATGAACCAATGATTCTAGGATGATGTTTTTTGCCTACTCATTCAGTGTTGTAGTTCAACAGTACACTGAACTGAGAACTGTTTTCAGGCATGTCGGACATGCTAAGAACTGTCTGCCAAGGGTTTCATAAAGAGTGCAAAATGTATGTTTCTGGTGTCTTTTGCCGAAAAGCAAAAAGAATAACACATAAAAGTTATTGGAAAAATAACAGAGATACGGTGGCAGTAGTTCTCGAATCAACAGCCAGCAGTCAACTGATAGCAGTTCTTTCTCCAGTCAAGAGTCAGCTAATGGTTTCAATCATTATTGGGTGCTTTAATAGAACTGAGTATTCTTGACATTGTTGTGTGATTTATTTATTTTAATTCTACATCTATAAATTCAAACTCAAATTACCCTTCTGCATCCTTTTTGCTACCTCAATTTAATTTCAATTAAAATTCAGTAATTGAATTTGTGTGCAGGTGGAGTTCCATGTAGCAGCAGTAATCAAGAGTACCCAGAGGTTTCTGAAGGTTCAAGTCGCTCTAACACTCTTATTCGTCTCCCAGCTGAATTCTTCCACCCAGCTGCCGCAGTCCTCCCTGCACCCTCGAGAGGCCGACTGGGACACAAACCAAGAGGGCTCCGTCTAACTTCCCCAGCCTCATGGGCATCTCTACGCTCTCCTGGAGCAAACACCAGGCTTCTCACCACACAGGTATGTACTAAGTGTTTAAATCGGGGGAGGCTAAGGGGGCTCCAGGACCTCCTATAAGTCCCCAAGAAAAATTCTGGGGGGCCCCTGGTGTTTCATTGAAACTAGAATACTAGAAACATAAAAATACAAATTGTTAGTTATTTGTCTTGAGTGTTTGCCCATTAAGTTGAATCCAAAATTCAAGGTGTGGTATAGTTAAGACAAGTTAAGGCACTATTTTTATGAGGGCAAGCCAACAAGAGCTTTGACAGAATTTGAACACTGTATGGGCTATGTCAATTCTATGCTAAAATATTTGACCCTTCTGTCCTCAGTATCCATCTCACAGTGACTCCTCCCTGGCTACGGGCAGCTCAGAGGGCAGTCTACCGACCACCATGGAAGAAGGGCTCAGTTTCATCTTATCCACCCCCCAGCCCCTGCTGGACACCCTCCTCGACGAGCGCGCTAGTTTCTCCACAGAGACCCTGAGACCCAGTCCTCCAGCCGCCCAGAACCTCCAACCAACGAGGGGGCACCGGCGCAGCAAGAGCAACTGTGAAAAGAACATCCGTGCAGGAAGCACTCAGCAAGGCTCTGATGCGGATGTGGGGATGGTACGGTGCGGCTTTAACCAGACATGTGACAGCCAGCAGCTCTCGGAGTCACCGAGCAGCCTGTCGCTCACGTCACTGCTTCTACCGAGCTCTCTAGCGCCCCCATCTGTGAAAAAGTGCAACAGCACGGGCAGCTTAGACCAGGGAACTCTCACAGCCCAAGAAAATATGTTTTCAAAAGAGCCACTGGGTAATATCGCAAGTCCCTGGAAAGAAAGGAAGGAAGGAGGAAGAGAGAGGCAGTTGCAGGCAGCACATGGAAAAGACGCAGAAAGTACAAGCCAAATAACAATCGTGGGCTCTAGAAAAAATAGATGAAACTCTACCTAGAGTTAGTCCTTTCTAAAGCCCACTACTCGATCTCTGTTTTTTTTTCAGGGAGCAGTTTGACATGTGGCATTCCATCTCAAAAGTCTTTCTCTCTCTAACTCCCTGTTTTCATTTGTGACCTGTTACCATTTTGTATTTGCTCGTGGTAATCGTCCGACAGGACTGTAGAGAAAATGGATGGAGAGACTTGAGAGAAGCAGTTTGGCCCCTCAGTGCATGACTAGGGAGAAAGCTCAATCAGCTGCCTGAAGGATCAGGTCAGGAAACAACGTACTGTACACGTAGAGCTTTCCAAATGCTGGAATGCTAGGAGTTTTCTTCAAATACAAAAGTATATATAGAGAAACTGAAAAGATGCAGTAAAGGATATTTCTTCTCTAAAAGAGGGTATGCTGTGTTTAAAGATTTAATGCAGTTAAGTATACTTTTTCAGTATACATACTTTTTACAGGTTATCTTTTCATTTATCGTTCTGTTTGTCTGTATCCTAAATATTTAAGGATATCGGAAATTGTTCCACCGTCGGCCTGAAGCAAAGCTTTCGTTTTCGGGGAGGGACCAAACTAAATGAAAGGAAGTCAGACTGTCAATCTGTCTGTCATTTTATTTATTTATTTATTTATTTATTTTAGTTATTAAAATGTGTTTAAATTATTGTTTGTATATTTATTTAAAGGGCAAATATAGAAATATATCTCCTACCTTTTGCATTAGGAGATGAAAAAAAAAATATGGACACAAGGACAAAGAACAGCCCTCTGCATGACGGAGTCTCTTTACAAAGAAGTTCGATGTAACTATTTCTGAAGATGTCAATGCTGGATGAACGGGAGTGAGGTTTTTACTCAGATATTTTTTTATCGATATGCTCTGGATCAAGGAGTAGGTGACTCGCATTGTTGTGGTCACTTTTGTCCTCCCCACAACCCAAAAACATTTCTCTTTATGTGACTTTATTCTCTGCAAGTGGCTTCCATTTTTATAATTTTGGTTAGGTGGAGGGGACTCTTTGTATGCTGTGGAGAAAAGATCCAAGCAAACAAAAAAAAGAAGAAAGGGGGGGGGGGGGGATTTTAAACTGGATTACCTAAACTCTTAGATTTTTTGGAGGTTGAATACAGCCAGACGCAAAGGATGATGAACAGGCCATGGGATTTAAATGGTTCTTCAAGAGCCTCTGCTTTATTTTGGTCCTTGGATGGCATGTCAGATGAAGAAAACACAACACAGTGATTTTTAGCTTTAATTTAGTCAAAACTAGGTTGATTGGATTTGCAACTGAATCAATTATTTATACATGAATTTTCTTTAGCATGATTACTGGACTGAAGTAGGGCACCTCTTATTTATTATTCCTCCTCTTTAAAAAAAATGCACTTGTTTGCTCTTTATTTCATCTAGCTTATAGACTTCGTCACTGTATTCATGTGCAAATGGAGCAACTCTAGGTATGACACTCCAAATATCTTAGTTTAGTCTGCCGTAGTGTTTGGCACCCCTGGTGAGTTTACTTTTATAATATTCATGTGAATATCACAATTAGACTTGACCTGTTGATGAATTTCATTGACACTTGATTCGTAGTGACTGTCCATCCATGAAGTCGGGGTCTCTGTACATTACATCAGTTGTGTTGTGGTTTAGTCAGGACCCAAGCATGGGATTGTCATTTTAATCTTGCCAATTCCGTTCATGAAGCCACCATTTTGAAATAAGAAACACTGAAGCATTAAAGTTTAATCCACAATAACAAAGGGCTTACTTGGTTTCCAAGGTGTTCTTGGATCTCACAAGACAATTTTTGCTAATAGTGTGCAAGACTTCAAAGGTTAGTCTGACACTACAGCAATAAACAGTAGCTTTGTGTGCCCCAAGTAAACAAAATGATGTCAATGTCTTTTTTTTTCCTTCTTCAAGTAGAGTATTTACCCTTGTTTACTAGCCTAAGTAACAATACCTGCACGACGTGAGGGCTGATCACATTACATAACCATTCGATCGTTGAGAATAGATGGACTGCCAATGGTTCAGATGAACATATGAAGTCATTTCGAACTCAGGACCTTGGAAAATACCACTACTGAAGGCTCTGTTTCCTCAGGGAGACAGATAGCTGGAACAAAAGAGGGCTGTATGTTAAATGTTAATGTTCATTTGATTTGACTTTGCATTTAATGCTCTAATAAGCTTGCATCAGTGCATCACCATATAGCAGAACACGAGCGGTGACAAGTAGTAAGAGTAACAGGTAGACCGAGAGTTAATGTATTGGCATTGTTGTATAGTTTACAAGTGTATGTAGCTTCAATAAAAATCTGACAATGCATTGAAGGACAAATGCATATATTACGTTTTTGAAAAGTGTATGTATGCGTGATGTTAAATGGTCTAGAGTGATGGGTGAGATTTTATACGAAACTGCGTAATGCGTTTGAAATGCGTCTTGTCACTGGATTGAACATTTGTACATATCCTTTTATATATTGAATTGCATGTGTGCTATGACCAATGATACATGCATTTTAGAATGGTTGAGGCTTTTTTTTTTCACCCACCCTGAGGTCTTCCTGAATCTGTATTCATGTAAAACATAATTTCCCTTTGTTTTATTAAGGAGACTACAATTTCTCATTAGACTTCTGTGGTCATGTGTAGTTAGTTTGGCCTCAAACTGTCTTCTGTGCTACTGTAGCTTAGATCCCTCATTGAACAGTTAGTTCTTGAATCTGATTGGCTGTGCGGAGTGCTGATATTTCAGTGTTTGAATGATTTCACTTGTCTGTGTTTGCGGCGTTCCAGACCAGAGTATGTGAGCGGTGTAGATTGAAAGTGGGATTGTTTTGTTTTGAGAGCGTCTGAGACCAAAATTGAGTGCCAGATACTGGATTTCGCTCAACGGAGAAATGCAAAAAAAAAAAATGGAGTGGAGCGAGAAGACCATGCATGTGTGATTATGAAGCGTTTTGATGAGGGAGGGAAATTCAATGTCACTTTATTCTACTCGCAACCTCTCTTCTGGTCTGTACTATAGTTTGTTGTTTGATGAGAGCGCTTTTTTTGGGAAGTATTTTATAAAAAAATATTATTGAAACCTGAAATTACTTGATTTTAAAGGGATAGTTCACACACACACACACACACAAAATATGTCATATTTTTTTGGTCAAGTATGCCTTTGACAACTTGTGCTGATATTCAGTGCTGCTCTTGTGGTGTTCCTTAAGTTGATATTCGTGAGTAAAATTCATTGACTTGCCCCTCTAAAAGAAGCAATAAACTCCATGTAGCATGGCCCTTGAGAAAAGAAAGTGCGTGGAAAGAGACAGGAGAGGTTCTGATAGTGGACATGCTGCTAGTGGTTTGGCATGCTTGTGTGGTCGGTCAGAAATCTCTGAAGCGGAAATGCATGGGAGAAGTGGGTTTTTTTTGTTTGTTTTTTTCACACCTAAACCATCTCTTCCCTCCAGCTATCTGTCCTTTAAATGTCAGCTGCTCCAAATCCTGACCGCACGTTCGTAAGGCCGCGGTGTCGCCAGCCTCGGGAATCTCGGGACGCGAGCTGTCACACCATTGTACAAATCAAGAGCCGTCTGAAGGGGTAGTGTTTCTGAAGCTGCGGTTTGTGTTCTTTACACTGGTGCCTGGGCTGTTCTGGAGGTCATATGCTTTATATTTGACTCATAAATGTGCTTTTATCTAATCATTTCAGCTTTGGAGAGTGTCGGTTAGATCATAGAGAACCTCTGTCATCGTGGCTGCATCGGTGTTTTATCTAGAGGTTGAGTAATTGCTCTCCCCGTCTGACTGGAATAAAGCAAGCGCTAATCGCTACAAAAGTCATACGGCTTAAATAAAGGTGATCCTCCTACTTAATGACAAAAAATGATCTTCAGTAATGACCTGGGCATCTCTGAGAGGACAATGTGATTAATATACTGTATGGCCTTGAATGTGTCATTATGTACCTTTCTGTTTTTGAAATTAAAAGAGAAGAAAGATATGGTTAAAATACTTTTATGTGTTGTATTTTTGGACTGAATTGCAAGTGTAGCCCTGAGTAGGTTTTTTGAGCCATTCTCGCTCTCTCTTCTCCAGTATACCTCTCTCACTTGGTGAGTTTGGCAATCACTAAATCAAGGCACCAGCTCTATCACAGAGCACAGCACTTCACACACCTGAAATATGGTAGCCCACTCAAACACACACACATACACAAACAACAGTTTCATCAAGGTGACACAAAGCAAATCATTCCTGACATGCTTCTTAGATTCGGTTACTCTACCACATTTAGTGGCGATAAGAAGAAAAAAAAAGAAGAGCTTGGAGATAAATGATACAAAACAAAAACACTATAAACATCCTGTGACAACAGAAACAGAGGCTGAGCGTTATCTGATGTGCCTGTCAATCTGCAATAGAAGCCATGCTGATACCTGCACTCTATATGGGTGGCTGCAGTCATCACCCTAACTGCAAATCATAAAATGCTAGATAGTATAGTAAAGTAAATAGGCTGCACTTTAAAAAATGCTTTCATGTATTTTGTTGTTGACCCTGAAGCCTGTCTTCAAATCAACTTCAGATCATCTTGGTCCTTTAGTAGAAGCCAGTTTCCATTAGCTTGATACCATTGAAAGATTAGAAACAAAATTGTGTAGGGATGACTTCAGTGTGCACCGGTGTCTGAAGCACATTTGAAATCATGCCAATCCTTTTAGCCGGCAGATGTCAGGTAGTGCTTCATCAAGACCTAAAAGGGTCTTTTTGTCTTCAGAAGCTGCATGCCTTCAGTGTCTAAATCTAAATCAATTGTTCCTGCCACCAAAACAGAGCTTTTCACATTGGATTTCTTTTGCCCATGAGGCATGCAGTATTGCTTCGTTTCTGGGGACCAAAGCCCACTCCACTAGGAGAGTGGCCTCTTCTAAAGTGCTAGCGTTTGCCAGATGTTTGTGTTGCAGTTGGTTGGTTCTCTCTGCTCACATTGCACATCAGGTTCAACATTTTGGATATAAATTCAATGCCAGGATCTCAGGTCCATCTAGGTTAATCCTTCCTAGCTGGGCATAAGGTTTGTAAACACAAAATGATAACCTTACTGGTCAGTCTTTTTTTTTTTTTTTTTATTGCTTGCGAGGCACACAGCATGTTTCATCTCTAGGCATCAAGCACACCAAACTGGGAGTGCACTAGCTAAGGTGTGCCTTTACGAGATGTCTTATGTTGTGGCGGGCTGGTTCTAACCCGCCGCTCTCAAGTCCTGTTTTTTTATTTTTTTATTTGGTGGACAAAAGGCTTTAGCGTATCAATACCTCACAACCTTGCTGGTCAGACATTTCTCAGCTTGTCT